TATCACCTGAGGAAAGTCACATTTCTTGTTCTACTTCTTTTCGTTCCATCTTCACCCACTTCAAGGAGTGGGGGGGTGAGAGGATAAGAGATTTGATGCCTCCACCGACAATGCAAAGCCAAAACACCAAATTGAAAAGATTTTCTAATAAACCATGACCATGAACAATCCAATCTTGCAATCGAACACTTGGAACAAAATATTACCACATCTCCTCGAAACTCAACCTCGACTCAATAAGGTCACGATCAAAAGTCTACTCCCTATGGCCTCATTCCCATGTCACTGAGTTTGGGATTCATAATGTAGCACATGGGCACATAGTTCTGAACTTCCAAGGACTCAACTTAGGCTATAACCCTATATATGTCCTTACGTTGAGACTAGAAGCTGGGGTGACACTTGACATGAGCCTTGGTGACCCACCCCTCAACAATAGTAAAGAACAATGCGATACACATGTCCATTAGATATAGTTAACTTTATGTGTTCATTAACAAGTTAGCCCTTATTAATAAAACATGAAAACATATAAAGAATAAATAAAAGTAGATATTTAATATACTAAATTTAATAGTATTAATAATAAAAATAAAATTTTTCGATAATTTAATTCGGAGAATTAAACAACATGTATATACAAAAAGCGCTCATCTCCCTCTAGGTTAGGGTTTTGAGTTTTCTGCTTCGTCTTCTTCGGTGAAGAGCGGCGAGGCAAGGAGTGCAGGCAACTACGGGAGATAGTTCGTGGCCAAGGGTTATTCATCTTCAGTCGAGCAGGTAAGTATGAGTACGAACGATGGAAGACATTGTATATATGTGCGATAACATGGCTATTGGTGGAGATGAGGAGGAGGAATTACTCATGTGCCCGGTCGGGCATAGGCAATACCCGATCCAGTATTTGCTTGATTCGATTGCCCAAATCAAATCTGATAACAAGTGATCGTGAGAGCAAAATTTCGTGAAAGATTTGTCACATACACGATCGGGTATGCCGACATACCCGACCGGGTATGCCCAGAAAAGTGACTTTCTGGGAAATTGCCTCAGATACCCGATCGGGTATCCTATATATCCGGTCGGGTATCAAACCCTGCAACTCCCAAAAGCCTATAAATGCACCTCTTTCCTTCACAATAAAATGACCAATTCACATATACTTCTAAGCTCAGTTTAGACAAATTTTCTCTCTATATTTTCTAGCATGTTTAGCCTCCAAATGAGGAGCTAAACCTTTTCATCTTGGCTTTGCTACCTTGAAGCTTAATGAATTGTAAGTTGTGAGTTATTTTCTTTAATCTTCTTCCTATATATTAATTAATTCCTCTTCATATTTCTTTTTTTTTTGGAAAGTGAAATTTTATTAAATGCCAAACGAAAGTACAAGAAAAATTAAAAGAGAAGAAAAGAACAAAAACCCAACTCAAAACTAGAATTACCCAACCCAAACTAGAATTACCTAGCCCAAAAACTAAAATTACCCATCCTAAAACAAGCACCCTCCCTATTTAACTGAGCCCCTCGATATGGCTTCAAAACCCTATTCGTGTTTGAGATCTAGTCTTCATGAGATGCAGTCGTTGATTCTTCTTTTTCTACATTCTTTTTTGAGTGTTCAGATTATCTGTGGGCAAACAGTTTTCTCATGTGACTAATAGAGCTTTTTGACAAATAGCCTCATTTGCATCAGAGTCCCATAAATCTTCCACCAATGAGATAGGAACCCTCTTCTCATTCTCTGACACTTGACCCAAAAGTTCATCCCCCGATCATATTTTGAGCATTACTTAAAGGATCATCTAGTTTTGTTTCATATATGAATTATTTCTAGAATCGATCGACGAATACGGTTGTTAATCGTGCGGTCTTTTCATGGTAGTAAACTTGGATCATTAATGCATGCGTTTCATGGTTAATAATCTAAGGGGATTAATTATATTGATTAAACCAATAAACCGCTTGTGCTGAGGTTATCAATCTCAATCGTTTTCATCTTAAGTTTATTGCTACTATCGGGTTAATATACAACACGTGTTCTATATTGACTCGGTAGTAAGTTTTATTAATGAACATGTCTCGTTATTAATAACTACCCTCGATGAATTGAATATACTCCTCGATTGAGTATTCGAGAGGAAGATAGTTAAAGATATAATCGGGATAGATGAACATTTCATTAAGTGGATAAAAGCAAAACCAAGTCTTCATCTCTATTAAGTAAACCGCATAAGTCGTTCAACTTGGTGTTTAACTAATCTTAAGTTCATCAACAATCAAACCCGCCCCCTGTTTCTAGTTACATAAAAGAAGTGTTCCTTTCCCTGTGGATACGAACCGTACTTCGTTATATTACATATAATCGATGTATTGATACTTATTTTAAGTGCTCACCACGACAAAGTGCTCGTCAAATTTGGCATTGTTGCCGGGGAAAGGCAATAACTTTTCTTTTTATTTTATTTCAAGAAAAATAAAAAATATATAATAAATAAAATATAAGGAGTTCTTACGTTTTCTATTTCTGAGCTTTGTTGAGTATATGATAAAAACTCGCTCTGTTAACCTACTCACATACAAAACAAACCCCGAAATAGAACAAACCTTCGAGAGGTTGAGAAATTTATTTCCGCCCAGCGAATCCTCAAACGCTAGCTCTAGCTCTAGCGAATCCGAAGAGTCCTTCCACATGGCTCTCGAGACAAGAACTTTGAAGGAGCTCACCACTCCAAATCTAAATCAACAACCATTGTGAATTACCTTCCCTACACTCAATGAGGATAATACATTTGAGCTAAAATATGGGCTCATTCATCTATTACCATCCTTCCATAGTCTAAGGGGAAGATCCGAGCAAACACTTATCGCAATTCCATATGTGTGCACAAGCATGTGCCCCAATGGCGTCACGGAGGAGAAAATCAAACTAAGGCCTTTCCATTCTCTTTGGAGGACACCGCAAAAGATTGACTTTTCTATCTTCCTTTGAGAAGTATTAACACATGGGCATCTAAGAAAAAATGCTTCCTTGAAAGGTACTATCCCGTATCCATCTCATCATCTCTCAAGAAGCAAATAAGCAACATTGAACAAAAGGATGATGTGTCCTTGTATCAGTTGTATGAATTTTGGGAATGATTTAAGAAGCTATGTGCTAGCTTCCCCTATCATGGTTACACAGAATAAGACCCCATCTTATACTTTTATAATGGTCTTGTTGATGATGATAGAAGAATGGTAAATGCCGCTTGTGGAGGCGGCATTGTCAACAAAACTCCTCACAAGCAACAAACTTGATCTCGGAGTTGGCCGAGAACTCACTACAAGTCAGCCGAAAATCCTCAACTTGAAGAGTTCTTGCTGCAGAAACAAGCACAACCGCTCTAGAAAGTCAAGTTATCGACTTGACTTCTTTGGTAAGAGAGCCCCTTCTAAAGCCAAAAACTCAGGAGGTCAAAGCTTGTGGCGTTTGCACATCAACCAGACACCCCACTGATTCCTGTCCATCACTCCAAGAAGAGCAAGTCAACGCCATAGGCTTCCAAGGACATCAACAAAGAAGGTATGATTCTTTCTCAAATTCTTATAATCTCCGATTGAGGAATCATCCAAATTGAAGATATGGGAACCTCACCAACCATTCAACACCCAAGGCTCAAATTCTCAACCTAATATGTCAACTGATGACATGATCCGAACTTTGACGTCAAACATGGTTACCATGCAACAAAACATGGAACAATTTCAACAAACCATGATACAATTCCAACATGAGACAAAGTCAAGCATAAAAAAATTTGAAAACTCGAGTTAGCCAAATTTCAAATGCCGTGAGTTGACTTAAAGCAAAGGACTCGGGTAAACTCCCATCTCAAACGGAGCAAAACCCGAGACAACATGTGAATGTAATCATGTTGTGAAGTGTGATGACATTGAAGGTTAGAGAAGGGAGATCAAGAGATTAAGGAGGTTGACCCTGAAGAAGAAGAAGGTCACTCAGAGGAGCGAATCACAAAGGCAAAATTTCCCCACTTTCATCATATGAACCAGTAGCCCCGTTCCCTGAGGCGCTGAGGGAGACAAGGAAGCCAAAGAAAGATGTTGACATCTATGAGACTTTCGCCAAGTGTGAGGTAAACATTCCGCTTCTTAACTTAATGAAAAGTGTTCCCCGTTTTGCTAAATTTTTAAGAGAATTCTGCAAAACAAAAAGAAAATTTTTACAGGGAGTTTGAATAGTCCTCACAAACGTCCTTATATATTAAGATTGTCTATATTAAGATTGTCTGGTAAATTGTCTACAGATTCTGCTAAGACCTTAATTTGATTAGTGCTTAATATATAAGGCCCTATGGGTCACACAACAAGTGATTACACCTTCCGATTGAATTGTTAGAAGGAATTAAATATTATTAATTGGGTTAAATAATATTTAATTCGTAATGCTCTGAAAATGGATTAAATATTAATTAGATTAAACATATTTAATTCATGATGCTGAAGGAGGGTTCTATTTGATAGGATTAATTAAGTGTGATAAATTAGATTTATTATACTTAATTAAGAAGTATTTTTAATTAAATAAAGTTGATATTTTCTTTTATAATTTATATTTAAAAGAAAATAGAAAATAAAATAAATAGTATGGAGTAATAATAATAATAATAATAATAATAATAATAATAATAATAATAATAATAATAATAATAATAAGAACAAAGTGACATGCAGCCACTTTGTTATTATTATTAGTTTATTTTTTTATTTATTTAATTAATGAAATCATTAATAATTATTGGTCGTGACTAGAACTCATTAATGAGAAAGACTTTCATTGTGATTGGGAAACTAGTTTAGAACTAGTATAAATACATCCTCGTCCTCCATAATTAAGTGACTAGTTTTCTAGATTCAGTATTACCGGTTTATTTTGCTGTGAAGAGATTTCCTAATCTTTCTCTATGGGAGATCTAACCGTTCTTTCGGAAAGGAGAAATCACGTGGATACCTAAGGTCAAGGATTATCACCGCTAGGCTGGCAGATCTGTAAGTTCTAACTCAGATCTATTATTATTGTTATATTTGTTGTTTTGTCGTAATCAGGGAAGATCTGTTTTTAAAATAAACCGATAATACTGAATCTAGAAAACTATTCACTTAAATTAATTATGGAGGAGGATGTATTTATACTATCTAGTTCTAAACTAGTTTCGCAATCACAATGAAAGCTTTTCTCATTAATGAGTTATAGTCCTATTAGGACCAATAATTATTAATGATTTCATTAATTAAATAAATAAAACAAAATAAACTAATAATAAATAACAAAGTGGCTGCACGTCACTTTACTTGTTATTATTATTATTTATTTTATTTTCTATTTTCTTTTAAATCTAAATTATAAAAGAAAATATCAACTTTACTTAATTAAAAATACATCTTAATTAAGTATAATTAATCTAATTTATCACACTTAATTAATCCTATTAAATAGAACTCTCCTTCAACATCATGAATTAAATATGTTTAATCTAATTTAATTCATTTTCAGCATTACGAATTAAATATTATTTAATCCAATTAATAATATTTAATTAATTCTAACAATTCAATTGGAAGGTGTAATCACTTGTTGTATGACCCATATAGCCTTATATATTAAGTACTAATCAAATTAAGGTCTTAGCAGAATTCCTAGACGATTTACCAGACAACGTTAACATATAAGGACATTTGCGAGGACTATTCAAACTCCCTGTAATATAGAGCTCATAGTGATACAGTCCTTTCATTCAACAAACATTCAACTAAGTCTAAAACTTGATATTGTGTCTATTCCAATAACTTAGTCTCTATCTCTCAACCTTTTCAGATGATCCATAACGATCATATTCGATATCTAAAAATGAATATATCTTTGTATTGACCAATGACTTTATGATCCATTTAGACATGAGAAGTAGAATGATCTCTCTTAATCTATTACGAGGAATGAATCCTTTCTTGGCTCAACTACTACTCCATGTGCTTCATGATGTGTCCAACACATGCCGTGTTCCGTGTCCACCCTTATAAGAGTGGAAGTGTTGGTCGTGGTCAAAGTACATCACTCCGCACATGTAGTACGTATTGACCTCAAGTCGGAGGACTCCCTATACACCGATAATCCTATAGACACATGAATAGAACTTATCAAGTGGTTTCTCGGTGGGTATGTCAATATTCTCTAAATATCTATGTGACCATTATGAATTATAGGAACTCATAGTTGTGAGATCAACTATACTTTCTAAAAGCATGATGCAGTCCACATACCAATCTTATTGCATATCATCAATATCCCTTTCTTAATGATCATTGATTGGGATTTGGGGCTACTTTAGGACCTTATGTTATATCATATAAGCTCTCACTTACTTATTGACAACATAAGTCCAAGGGAACACAATTACGAAAAAGACATTGACAATCGAAATGCTTAATCATCAATGTGTAATACCGTATATATCAAATATATAAAACCGAATGTGATCAAGTACATATATCTCTAAAAAGTGATTGTCGCTAGGACATATATACTAACACTTACTGCCTCGACACGTGAAATCGAAGAAACGGAAGATACTAGATCGGGTATGCGTAAAACGCCAAGTCTGGAGCACACTGCCTCGATTACCTGTTCGGGTATAACCCATTACCCGATTGGGTAATCGGGATCTTAAACATGAACCAACGCCCAAAAACACCATCTTCTTCCCTAATTCTTCCCCAAATCGACCGAACCCTCCCCCAAACCTCCATAGCCAAACCTCTCTCCTCCAATTACTCCCTCAAATATCCACCAAATCTCTTCAAACCACCACCAAAATCTTCCCCACATCTCCCTCTACAACTCCATCCCCACCAACTCCATATTCTCCCCCATTTTCAAGGTTCGAAAATACCCACCCAAACACACCAAAAATCCAAAAATCAAGCTCTCTAAGTCTATCAATGGTACCCAAATGGACAAGGGGAGAAAGTTCTTCTTCAATAGCACTAGTTCCCGACTTTGAAAACATCATCATTACCTCATCCGCTCACTGGGCAAAATTCTTGGCCGAAACCAAAAGAGAGTTACACCATTCATGTTTCTTGTGTATGGATACTTTGGATGAGCTAGGAATTCTTGCTATGATGTTTTAATTATGTGAATTGTTGGGTTCCATTGAGAAAATCAAAGATGATAATGATGATAGGGAGGATAAACTCACGTTTCGTTTATTCAATAAAGCATATTCCATATTGAAACGTGAGTTTGCGGAGCACTTTGGTTTACCAGTACCACCATGAAATGCCCAAGAACCCGACATCGGGTATGGCTTTGAATTGTGGAAAAAATGACAGGGGAGATGACATTTAGCCCCTCTAATCTTGTCATAACCCATGTCCAACACCTGGTACTACACATTTTCTTGAAATTCCTGGTTAGTTTTGTGTTTGGTCGCCACAACAATCATCAAGCAAGAATAGGTGATGCGTGTATACTAGCCAATGCATTGTTTGACATACCTCCCTTCCACTACAACATTGTGATCCGTGTGTGGGAACACCTCTTCAAAGAGTGCACCACACAAGGAAACATTTGGATAGGGGTAGTCATTATTCATATAGCTACAAAATTCGGTTACGTGGACAATGCACCCGTAGCCAAATTTTGTCTTTTTGATACGACACACCAATGCTAAAGAAATCTAGTTCTCTCACTGCGATCATAATGGGAAGATTTTCTACAAATGGTCCATATACCCAAAGCCTGCCTGTTACTTCACCCTCCCCTCCGACGGGCTACCCATGATTCCTTTCCGAGTTGAGACACATCTTGTGCGCCACTATTGTCTCCCTCCAGCCATCCCACCATGTTTTCAAGACCAAGAAGATGAGCCCACACAAGAACAAACCCCTCCCATTCCTGAAGACATCCAAGCCCCACCTCACGCCGCCCCGATACGATCCATATCAAACACAAGTGCTTGAGAACCACTATGCATTGTTGGAAGGACTTGGGGATTTACGCGTCCAGGTCGACCACATCGAGGAGGACAACCTCAGGGCATAGGCCCCATTTATTCATGCCATCATCACGAGGGGCACTTCTCCTCTATGCGCCCCCCGGTTTAGCACCCTTCATGGTACGAGTGTACGACCCCTCTCAATGGGGTAATTTTGGAGGAGACGGCGGCTAAAACAATGGTGACTACGGTGGCGGTTAGCCCGATTATGACGGAGACGAGAACTAGGGACAGTGCCTTGAGCTAAGTGAGGGAGAGTCACTCATTGGTACATACTTAACTTTTCTACCTTGTAACTTGCATTATGCCGACATACCCGACCGGGTATGCCCAGAAAAGCGACTTTCTGGAAAATTTCCTCCCCAAAAGCCTATAAATATACCCATTTTCTTCACAATAAAATGATCAATTCACATATACTTCTAAGCTCAGTTTAGACAAGTTTTCTCTCTATATTTAAAAGCATATTTAGTCTCCAAATGAGGAGCTAAACGCTTCCATCTTGGTTTTGCTACTTTAAAGCTTAATGAATCGTAAGTTGTGAGTTATTTTCTTTAATCTTCTTCCTTGAATATTAATTAATTCATATTCATATTTCATATTAATGTTTTGAGCATTACTTAAAGGATCAACTAGTTTTGCTTCATATATGAATTATTACTAGAATTGATCGACGAATGCACTTGTTAATCGTTCGGTCTTTTCACGGTAGTAAACTTGGATTATTAATGCATGTGTCTCATGGTTAATAATATGAGGGGAATTAATTATATTGATTAAACCAATAAACCGCTTGTGTTGAGGTTATCAATCTCAATCATTTTCATCTTAAGTTTATTGCTAATATAGGGTTAATATACGGCGCGTGTTCTATATTGACTCGGTAGTAAGTTTTGTTAATGAATGTGTCTCGTTATTAATAACTACGCTCGATGAATTGGATATACTCCTCGATTGAGTATTCGAGAGGAAGATAGTTAAAGATATAACCGGGATCGACGAACATGTCATTAAGTGGATAAAAGCAAAACCAAGTCTTCATCTCTATTAAGTAAACCACATAAGTCGTTCAACTTGGTGTTTAATTACTCTTAAGTTCATCAACAATCAAAATCCCTCCTTGTTACTAGTTACATAAAAGAGAAATATTCATTTCCTTGCGGATACAAACCTTACTTCGTTATTCTACGTATAATCGTTGTATTGATATATATATATATATATATATATATATATATATATATATATATATTGTGAGTGCACACCACGAAAAAGTGCTCATCAAGGCGGGTTCTAGACACCAGACCCGCCGGGATCGGAGTTCTAAAAAAGATTTATGGAAGGAAAGGACAACAGAAGATCCTCGTGATTCTGCGGATGCAACATAAGTTTTATACAATTATTTTCATTCTTGTTCTTTACTTTGATCAGACTACTTTTATCTTCACGTTTTATTTCTCGTTTTGTCATACTCTTGCATTAGTATTGAGTGATGAGAGGTCTGTTTTGATCGCATTTGGCTAGTTTATGCCCATTATGGATCAACGAGTCATATTGCTTTCTGGAAGGTGATTGACTCTAAGTCTAGTTCGAGGGCTGGCAGTTGGACGTAGTCCTTTTATCTGTTTTTTCCCGATCTTAATGATGTGATATAAGCCACTTTCTTCCAAAATAAAAATAAAATTATTGAACATAATCAAAGTGTCCTTTCAGGGATAACCAATATATATCAGTCCCACTGTTTGAGATCAATACAACATTAAAGAGCATTCTATTTTAAAACAAATTAATCGATTTATTTCCATTGACCTATTCTATTATTTCAATATTTTGGTCATCCAACACTTAATACGTGTAATCTAATAATAAATCTGAAACATCACGATTGACTATATAGAGCAGAGACCAGTAATGTTGTGCATTGAATTGAGCATTAGAAAAACACTATATATACGAAAACACGAGTATTTAGGTCTTTTTTTTATAGAATGAGCCAAGGTGCACTCAAAGAGACCTTATCTCACTTGTCCTCGTTAAATCCGTGAGAAGACGCACCGAAAATCTGCTGCCAACACGCCGGAAAGCCGTCTTTGCGTCATACTTACTCGCCGGTGCATCTTAAATGTGGTACATTAGTTGTGCTTAAAGGAGTTTTAATAAGTGTGCTTCATACTTTATAGATGACATAGTCACATAACCCACCACGAGATCTACTTTCCTGTGGTAGCTTTAACACATAATCTATTTCTTGAACAAGAAATTTCCAGAATGGCAAGTAGTTTTAAAACATACTCTGTTCATTAAGTATATATATGAATCTTTGAATATGAAGTAGTTCAAATTGTTAAATTAGTTTTGGTGAAAATCGTGTCTCTCCATTAACTATTTGATATTTATCGTTATGGATTTTAGAAAAGGTGAGGTATTATGTAAATACTTGTTTATGGATTTTGATAACACTATCAAGTCTTTATGTTGAGTGCAGTTGATCAATGTGCTTTTAAACTACGAAATCCAGTGGTTTCTCATTTTAAACAGTAAATATTTGAATCGTTTTGGTTATTCTTTCGATTTACCATACAATTTTGTATAAACTAGATTTATATCTTCTTATATTTTATTTAAACTTTATATTCTTAAATTACTTCGTGGGTGAATGCTATGATTGCATACATGGTTGCAAATCGTGAGAAGCCCAGATATGTGGGTGATAATTTTTAGCCACTTTGGATTCTCGGTGCATTACCATTTATGGATTCAATTGTAGAGATTTTCCATATAGGCATTTGCCTCACATGAAAGGAAGGGTAGTTCATTGGTAACAGAAGCAATTTTTCAATGTTTCTATTGATTTCAATGTATCATTGGTAACTGAGTTGCATTATGAAACTAAAAATGCATTTTGTTTCTACAAAATTCTAGAATGAATTCTACATCTACTTGATTTGGAATGCTTTCACCCCTTCCATGTTATAAGAGTATGATCATGTGGGATAGGTCATTTAGATTTCTGACTGCCAACAGTACAGTCAGTGTTATGGTTTTAATATTAAATATGTTTCCTTGGAAGTTTTAGAATGAAGATGGAAATAATTCCAAGGAGTTCTTGGTGTGCCATGTCAACATACATAAAGAAATAAAGATAAATAAAGGAGTTTCCGAAATTAACATTTACTGAAAAAATTGAATAAATGTAAGTACTTTTAGGTTTCTTGCTTTTATCATCGAATATGTGATAGATTCAAGTATTTAACTTCTAGATGTTTTTTTAACCATAGTGTGTGTACAAAGAAATTATTGGGTGGATGAGATAACACCCTTTGGATTTTTAAGTTATATGGTTACACCCGACTAAAGATATCAGTTCTTGTACTATACAGTAAAACATTATATTATTATGTTCTTTTTACAATTTCTTTGTATATTTGTATGTTTACTTTCATCTTATCTTGAAATTGATAAAAGCTCATGTTTTATGGTGTTGGAAATGGTTAGGATGGATTTTTCTGCGGACCTGGACTTTTCCATCTGGGATTGTAAATACACTGCAGGTTTGAACCTTCATCTAAGTATTATACTTTGCCATTCATAGTTCTTTTTTCTAAGCTTTACTTATTTGTGAATTTGATGATCTTATGGGAAGTCTTTAAATTGGCATTCTGCATGATCATGACTGTTATCTTTAGCTTCATTTATCTGATTAATTTTCTTACATTCCAGATGAAATCAGTTGTCTGAGAGATTCTTCCCCATGTGTTTTGTACTTTGATCCTCAAAATGGTGAATCCAGTTTCACTTTATCCTTTATTCCTTTGAATTCCTCCTATTTTTTGGCATTTAATCAACATTCATATGTACCAATTTGGTTGTGTTTGCACTACTATGTTTATTTGTTCCCTTTTTTTGCTATAGATGTCATCAATGAAAAATATAATAGTCAAGTACGAAACATATTGGCTGCAAATGGTCAAGTGGAGATCCTTGGAAGTGAAAAACATACATTGAAGCTCCCGATCCGAAGTGAATTGACCCCGACTGATGCAGAATGGGATGCGATGGTGCAGAAAATAATGGCTTCAAATGTGAATGATGATCTTGGTCAAGAAGTGAGTGAAGAAAGAATGCATGAAGGATTACGGGCTCACTTGAAAGATCCCTCTCCTCAAAGTGGTGAAAAGGTTTGACTTTTGAACCTTTAGTAAAAATGAAGCGTTAATTTTAAGTGTTATTAGTTTTTTTGATTTTCTTTGCTACCCCCAAGTGTTAAAAAGAGATATTAAAATAAATTGGGTATTAAATAGTAAGCAAATAAGATTATAAACAATCAGCATATCAATTAAACATGGGAAAAAAGTGAGTTCAAATGTGTCACTCTAAGGTCTTTGTGCATGTGTACTCCCACAATCTGACAATAACATGTAGGAGGAGTAGGCCTAAAAAATCTCATGCATTGTTCTTGAACCTTCTAATTCTAATGTTCAAAAAATGAAAAGTACCATGACATATGAGAAAATATATGGAGCATGCTAGCTAAGGATCACGTTAGCGTGATGAATGACTAAGATTCATTCACCTAAAATATTTAGAGAATCTCGACCATTGATCACGCCAGCGTGCTCCATATATTTTCTATTTTTCTCCATAACATATGAAGATGGATTTGAACAGTTCGAGTTACTCCCTCCGTCCTGCTAAGATTGTCCCATTTTACCTTTTCTGAAAGTACCACTAAGATTGTCTCATACCAAATTTGGTAAAGATTGTGTGACTCCAAACCATTCTTACTTTATTCTTACTTTATCAATTTAATATCAACCACACAATCCCACTTTTCTTAATAATCGTGTGACATTTTCTCGTCCCAATCTTAGTGGGACGGAGGTAGTATATCACATGCAATGGCACATCTACTGCACCTAAAAGGACTATTGACTCCTTATCTCCAACACCTAGAGAAACCACATATGAGGGGGTAAAAGAAAATGTGAATACTATATTTTTTTACTAGTTTTGAAATAACTTACTCTCACTTTTGGTGGTGGTTATAAATTTCATTATATTAATTTTGTTTTGTCTAAGTTGTATACAATTTAGTGTAATGTATTTTTATGTATTTATTATTTTTTTATTATCAGGCTGTGGATGAAAATATGGAACCTAGAGTAGTGAGTGTAGTAAAGACACAAGGTGGGATGCATAACAAAACTAATGGGAGTTTAGGGGAGGATTCATTGCCGGTTCGATCAAACCACAAGGTGAGTGACTATGTGAGAAAAACTCATATAAAAATTGAACCACAAGAGGATGATCAATTTGAGGCCAATAACAATTCAATTTTGTCATCTATAAAGTCAAGAAGTGGGGTATTGTTGGAAGAAGAATGGCCGTTGTTTGTTAAGCTTGAGTACATTAATGCGGAATTGGGATCAAAATCGCCTCCTAAAAGACAAATGGAATGGTGCAAGCCAAGGCGTGGAGAAAAGTCTGCCGTCATTGACTTCGGAAACAAGAAAGAAACTCATCTAGCATTGGGCAATGCAAATAAAACTCTTGTTTCTGCTCCTTTGCAGAGTAAAAGCATGACTAGTGACTTGCCACTCATGAAGGAGGGCGAGATCTTGATGGTAGTAACACATTCCAATGCAATTCTAAAAAATGATGTTCAAGCTCCCTCTCCATCATTTGCTCCATCGGAAAGCAACCGAGAGTTCAAGGGAATGACCCGGAAGGATCTAAGGGCCATTGCAAAGTTACACAAGGTAAAAGGATGGTATCGCCTAAAGAGGTCAGATTTGGAACAGAACTTGCACATCACTTTGCATGCTAAAAATTCTGGCCATATATAATATACACCAGTCTTTTGTTCTTTTACTGATCTGGATGATGTAGTAGCCCAAGAAGATGGAAACTGGGAAGAAGAAAATGTTACTTCATGTGAATATTGTTTGTGAACAATTACTATCTCTCTGTACTGTAGATTTGTTTTCTTCTTTTCTCATTGATTTTTATTTTTATGTGATCCCTGTGCTTAAAGAATCCCCTCCTTTATTATTTCTGTCTATGTCACTAGATAAAAATTCTAGTTTTTTTAAATACTACTAAAAAACTTATTTACACAATTATGACTAATAGTTATTGCAATGTAGTGTCATGATAACTTAAGTTTAAAAATTGAACATAAGTTACTATGATTCCATTACTATTCTAGTCACTAGTCACACTTTTCTAAACAATATAAATTTTAGTCATATATACATAATTATTTCAAAATTCTACCGTCACTTTTAAATTTGATAGATAAATTTGCTTGTAATTGTAGATAACAATAAGGATATGTCATCTTCAAATGATTTTTTTCAATTTTCTTTAAATTTTGAATTGTGTATACTATGTAGTTTTTATTATTATGCACATGATATTAAATAGAAGCTTATTTATTATTTTACTATTATTATTACCGTCATTATATTATTACTATGAAAGAATACTCTTTTCCAAAAAAAGCATTTCCTTTTAAGGAAAAATAATAATGTCTACTATTTCAAAATTTTCTTAATAAGTCTCATCTACACAATTTCAGTTTCAATTTCAATCTCATATACCAACTCAGAACGAATCACACTAAATTGCACTAGATCGAAATAAACATTGAACTAGATAGCATCCATCACATATACAACTAAAGAGAACAAATCAGAGATCAATAATATTAGATTGGCATTACACGAATGCTTCCGGTCAGTCTAAACAATAATGTAAAAATAAAGTGTCTTTATGTCGCGTTATCGGGAATGACCCGGAAGGATCTAAGCGCCATTGCAAAGTTACACAAGGTGAAAGGATGGTTATTGCCTAAAGAGGTCAAATTTGGAAAAGATCTTGCACATCACTCTGCATGCTAAAAATTGTGGCCATATATAATATATACACCAGTCTTTTGTTCTTTTACTGATCTGGATGATGTAGTAGCTCAAGAAGATGTATACTGAGAAGGAGAAAATGTTATTTCATGTGACTATTGTTTGTGAGCAATTACTATCTCTCTGTACTGTAGATTTATTTTCTTCTTTTCTCATTATTTTTTTATTTTTTTGATATGATCCCTGTGCTTAAAGAATCCCCTCCATTATTATTTTTGTCTATGTCACAAGATAAAAATTCTAGTTTTTTTTTAAATATTATTAAAAAACTTATTTATACAATTATGACAAATAGTTATTACAATGTAGTGTCATGATAACTTAAGTTTAAAAATTTAACATAAGTTACCATGATTCTATTACTACTCTAGTCACTAGTCACACTTTTCTAAACAATCTAAATTTTAGTCATATATATGTAATTATTTCAAAATTCTACCGTCACTTTTAAATTTGATAGATGAATTTTACTTGTAATTCTGGATAACAATAAGGATATGTCATCTTCAAATAATTTTTTTCAATTTGCTTTTTTTGAATTGTGTATACTATGTAGTTTTTATTATTATGCACATGATATTAAAAAGATGTCATGTCTAAACAGCTATTGTTTAGAATAGAAACGGGGATTCAATTTGCTTATTTATTATTTTACTATTATTATTACGGTCATTATATTATTACTATGAAAGAACACTCTTTTCCAAAAAAAAAGCATTTCCTTTTAAGGAAAAATAATATTGTCTACTATTGTTTCAAAATTTTCTTAATAAGTGTCATCTACACAAATTCAGTTTCGATTTCTACACAATTTTTATTAAATATACCAAATTAGATCGAATCACACTAAATTGCACTAGATCATAATAAACAACACTGAATTAGATCACATCCATCACAAATACAACTAAAGAGAACACATCAGAGATAAATAATATTAGATTGGCATTACACGAATGCTTCCGGTCAGTCTAAACAATAATGTAAAAATAAAGTGTCTTTATGTCGCGTTATCGGCACCATATTATTGGGAATGACCCGTAAGGATCTAAGGGCCATTGCAAAGTTACACAAGGTGAAAGGATGGTATCGCCAAAAGTGGTCAGATTTGGAAAAGATCTTGCTCATCACTCTGTATGCTAAAAATTCGGGGCATATATAATATACACCAGACTTTATTCTTTTACTGATCTGGACGATGTAGTAGCTCAAGAAGATGGGAACTGGGAAGGAGAAAAGGTTATTTCATGTGACTATTGTTTGTGAGCAATTACTATCTCTCTGTACTGTAGATTTGTTTTCTTCTTTTCTCATTAATTTTTTATTTTTTTACATGATCCCTGTGCTTAAAGAATCCCCTCCTTTATTATTTTTGTCTATGTCACTGGAAAAAAATTCTAGTTTTTTTAAATATTACTAAAAACTTATTTACACAATTATGACTAATAGTTATTACAATGTAGTGTCATGATCATTTAAGTTTAAAAATTCGACATAAGTATCCATGATTCTATTACTACTCTAGTCACTAGTCACACTTTTCTAAGCAATCTAAATTTTAATCATATATATGTAATTATTTCAAAATTCTACCGTCACTTTTAAATTTGATAGATGAATTTTACTTGTAATTGTAGATAACAATAAGGATATGTCATCTTCAAATGATTTTTTTCAATTTGCTTTAAATTTTGAAATTGTGTATACTATGTAGTTTTTATTATTAAGCACATGGTATTAAATAGTAGCTTATTTATTATTTTACTATTATTATTACAGTCATTATATTATTACTATGAAAGAACACCCTTTTCCAAAAAAAAAAAAACATTTCCTTGTAAGGAAAAACAATATTGTCTACTATTGTTTCAAAATTTCTTAATAAGTGTCATCTACACAATTTCAGTTTCGATTTCTACACAACTTTTATTAAATATACAAAATCAGATCGATTCACACTAAATTGCACTAGATGATAATAAACAACACTGAATTAGATCACATCCATCACAAATACAATTGAAGATCAATAATGTTAGATTGGCATTACACAAGTGTTTCCGGTCAGTCTAAACAATAATGTAAAAATAAAATGTCTTTATGTCGCGTTATCGGGACCATATTATTGGGAATAACAAAAGCTTCTCTTCAGAAAAAGCGTATTGGGTATTAATTTATTGATTCCTTCTTCTTTAGGTAGGTAGGTAGGTAGGTAGATAGATAGATAGATAGATAGATAGATAGATAGATAGATAGATAGATAGATAGATAGATAGATAGATAGATAGATAGATAGATAGATAGATAGATAGATAGATAGATAGATAGATAGATAGATAGATAGATAGATAGATAGATAGATAGATAGATAGATAGATAGATAGATAGATAGATAGATAGATAGATAGATAGATAGATAGATAGATAGATAGATAGATAGATAGATAGATAGATAGATAGATAGATAGATAGATAGATAGATAGATAGATAGATAGATAGATAGATAGATAGATAGATAGATAGATAGATAGATAGATAGATAGATAGATAGATAGATAGAGAGGAAACTTCATGTCAGGCCGGCCTGACGGGCTGCCCCGTCCGGCCGAGCCCGTTTGGGCACCTTCCCGGTGGAATTTTTTGATGAAATTTTTTGAGCATGTTCCTCATCAAGTCTAGTTTGTCCATACCAAATTTCAGCTCAAAATTCGATCGGGAAGGTCGTCAAATGATTTTTTCAAGTTAACTGGTCCGGAATATGTATTTTCCAGACCAGTTAACTTGAAAAAATCATTTGACGACCTTCCCGGTCGAATTTTGAGCTGAAATTTGGTATGGACAAACTAGACTTGACGAAGAACATGCTCAAAAAATTTCATCAAAAAATTCCACCGGGAAGGTGCCCAAACGGGCTCGGCCGGACGGGGCAGCCCGTCAGGCCGGCCTGACATGAAGAGCACTCGATAGATAGATAGATAGATAGATAGATAGATAGATAGATAGATAGATAGATAGATAGATAGATAGATAGATAGATAGATAGATAGATAGATAGATAGATAGATAGATAGATAGATAGATAGATAGATAGATAGATAGATAGATAGATAGATAGATAGATAGATAGATAGATAGACAGATAGACAGATAGACAGATAGACAGATAGACAGATAGACAGATAGACAGATAGACAGATAGACAGATAGACAGATAGACAGATAGACAGATAGACAGATAGACAGATAGACAGATAGACAGATAGACAGATAGACAGACAGACAGACAGACAGACAGACAGACAGACAGACAGACAGACAGACAGAGAGATAGATAGATAGATAGATAGATAGATAGATAGATAGATAGATAGATAGATAGATAGATAGATAGATAGATAGATAGATATAGGATGTACGAGACCTTTACTTATTCCATGAAATAGTAAAATCTCAGATAGCATGCCCCATTCGTTCTGCCAGTAGCAATTCAATAATATCTCTAGGAGAAAAAACATTAGGTGAAGTTTAGGTGAAACTAAGTGGAGGTCCAACTTAATAATTTCTTTTTTTTTTCAATACAAAAAAACAATTTTCTATCTGAATTACTTTTATCCATTCATACATTTTGGAATCAAAATAAGGAATATAACTCGTTTAAAATATGTTGTTGCGCTAGTAGCAGAATGTTATACTCTCATTGGGTATTTCTAGACATTTGTTTTGCGTTATTTAAGTCGTGTTTCTCCGTCACTTGTTGTTATTCGAATGCTCATGTTACATACAATTTGGAATAAGTTATGAATCCACCCCTAATTTGAAATCAACTTAGGGGTGGACTCATAACTTATTCCAAATTGTATGTAACATGAGCATTGAAATAACTACAAGTGACGAAGAAACACGACTTGAATAACGCAAAACAAATATCTAGAAATACTCGATACGTATAACATTCTACTTCAACGCAACAACATATTTTAAACGAGTTACATTCCTTATTTTGATTCCAAAATATATGATTGGACAAAAGTAATTCCA